AATATTTTAGTACTCGTAGATTTTATAAGAAAAAGAAAACATGTCTTCCACCAACGACCACAAAACTAAAATTAAGACCGATTAAGACTTCTGACAGTCTGTGCACGACAATGAAAACAACAATTTCACTAGCTTTCATTGCTACGTCATCGCCTTTGCTTTAAGGACGCGTTCCCATTATGTCACAACGTTTTATTTATCATTGGACGACTGTCACGAATAGCCTGTTCACGACAATCTCTCGTGCCTGTGTCATGGACGTTTATTTTATCGTTGAACAATTGTTCAACAAACAACGTCTTGTTTACCGTCAGACGACTGTCGTTCTAGCTCGTCGTCATAACGTCAAAAAAGTCGTGAACGACAGTTAATCGTGTTGTTCTAAATGTGTGAACAACTTCATTTAAATATACAAGTCACGACGTAATGGGAACGCGCCCTAACAGTGAGTCGCTAGCGAATTCTTAGTTTCCGTTGCGACCGCTAGAGACGCGATACTCACCTGAACCGAGGATCAGTGGACGGCGTCCCGCTGCAAACGGACCCACTGCTGGCCGACACCAGACCGCCCAAGGTTTCGTGGCGCGGAGCCATTGGTAGGTAACCATCGGGCACTGGAGTCGCCTCCAGTGCTAAGTCGTCCACCCCTATTGAGGATGTCCGCGAATGCTGTATGCTGCCGCGGAGTGACGTGCTGTGATTTGGAATAAGATTTTGTACCAGATGTGTGTCTAAATGACCAATAACTGAAAAGGGTTGCTAATCGCGACTCAAGATAGCGTAGTCGGGTATTTAGTAACTATTTGTACACCAGATATCACGAAGTAACAAATAAACAATATAATAAATAAATAAAAATCAAATAACTATTTTTGTAACTAATTTGTTTTACATTGACAACATTGACTTACAAATAAATGGACGACGGGTCTAATACAAAAACCACGAAGAAAATGTCCCAAGTCAACCTATTTAAACGTAGTGACATGTAAAGGAATATGAAAAAGCTAAAACGTTGAATTTAAATTGTAATGTCATCGCAGTACTGTCTAATTTTGCTTCGCTGTCGAACAAACGAAGACTAAAGCGTGAATGACGCTCTGTATACGATTGTAACGCCCTATAAGTTCGGACACTTTTTAGCGCGGACCCGACGTCCATATAATTGTAAGTCAATGATTGACAAGCTGCAATTTATCAAAGCTACTCTAATTTGTAGTGATAACAAACAAATCAACTAGATGTCGCTAGTTGCACAGATTTTAAGGACAGTGCGGGCTATTCTTTTATTTTGTTTATGATTAGCGCCATCTACATACAATATTAGGAAGCGTTAATCTATAAATTCGTTTATAACACACATTGCCATCTATTGACACGCATATTCAAAGCACGCATGTCGAAGTACCGAAAATAATTTTAGCTCATGATCAAAATATTAGAAGGAAAAAACTGACTTCTTATATTTCATTGATATCCACGGCCATTTACATAATATAAATTACTTCCAGGCTATTAATCAGCGCAATCTAGATCTAAGATGGAATTTTGACCTTTTTCAAAGCTACGATCTGTAATATGGAGATTATTATCTATTTTAGACTGTCGCCTCTCTCAGGGCCTAAAAGATTAATTTTGAATTTTTTCATCGGAAAGGCGGTATTTCCCGGCAATAGCACAGTCGGCCGGGGTCAGGGACTCAAGTTCAAGAACCGGCGAAAAATACGCGCCGTATCGAGCAGGACCGCCTCAAGCTGTTATAAAGGCTGAGCGGAATTAACCCATTTGCGGACAAAACAATTGGGATTATTTCAGTGGAGGCCACATCCCATAAGTCGTTGATCTCGTGCGCCAGGTCGAGATACTTCCGGCGATTCTCGATTTCGGCTTTCACGAGACCCTCGCCATGCGGGATGGTAACGTCCACGAGAAATACCATTATTATTACTATTATTATTATTAAACAAGTGCGCATTTGATCTTCATCTCATCTGATGGAAAGTGACGATGAGGTCGACGATGTAGCATGCACACCTAAATAATGCCTATTTACTCTCGCCTTAAAAAAAATATCAAGTTATAGCATTCGGGGAACAAGTCCGCAAGGGAATTCCACTGTCTAGCCGCTGGCTATATCCTGGGAATATCCATAACATAGGGGTGGAACTCCAGCCCACGTCAGCAGTCCTCTTGAGTTACTGGTCTATGCAATCAATCAAGGGTTATGCCATGGTTCGGCACACTATTTTTTGTCACCCTGAGACCTACGTTGACAAATCCAATGTGCCTGTAATTTCACCAGCACCCTTACCCTTCAAAACCGGAACACAGTAATGCTGACATTACTGCTTGGCGGCAGAAATAGGTAAGGTGGCAGTACTTCCCTGGACAAACCCTTTCACAAGGAGATCTACAACTACTATCCAACGTGTTGGGGTTTCACACGTCTTCCAAGGGTTGTGAACCTTCTTCTACATGCAGATCTCATCACGGTGTTTTATTTCACCGTTAGCGTAAAGTATCCCTCCCTACTCACACTTACAAATCGATACCTCCAATATCACTACGCCAACTTTATATTTTAGTCATTTTCTGTTATTTTTGTAAACAGCCATTTTTATTTACTGATATTATGCTCTCAGAATTCGGTGAATAAAAAAAATAAAGAAACAAACCCAAAATTCAAAAAAACAAACAAAACGAATTATGTGAAAAGAAAAATAAAGAAATAAAAAACAAAATAAAAACAGAACAGGTACAAAAATTAAGTTGGTAGAGTTCATTGGAGATATCGAAATGCACGTAACTTAGAACTTGAAAGTCATAGGTGTATGCCACCACAGGCCGTCGAACCGTTATCCTCTCTGTTACCGGATCCACAGAATACAGCATATTCAGTGAGACGTTACCAAGCTGAGTGGTTGACGGATTCCGTAACACAGAAGGCACACTTTATGGCTAATAACTTGACTATTTATTGTTATATCAATCAATCATCCATATTTGCTTGTTGTTTATGTGTTGTTTGTGTCTGTATTATCTAGTTGTTGTGTTTTTTCTCTTTTATTTCATTTTTTATGTTATAATTTATGTGCTGTGTTGTGCCTTTTTGGAAAAAAGGATTTCTGTTCTATTCTCTCACTTAAGGCGCAACCGCTCTCAAAAGTAAACAAGTAGTATATTATGTTAATGTTTTAGTATTAAGCCAGATTTTCCCTCCTAGTCTTTCTTCGCAAATCCAGGACTTACCTCATCAAATCCCTAATAGGTTCACAAAAATCCGGTTCTTCAGGGATGCGTGGCGTTCGATGCCATTCCACTGAGTCAACGTCATCTCGAGATATTTCCAAACCTGCAATAAACAAGTCATTTCTATACTCCGTTCAAGACTTTCTTCACACACTAAGAAATAAAAACTCCGGTAATATATAGTATCTTTTTTTAGAAGACGGAGTAAGATGACATTTGTAGGGTTACCATAAAATTTAAAATAGTTATGTTGTTGTTGTCGATAGTTTTATCGATAGATTGTAAAAGATAAAATTTTGCCAAAAATTACTGAATTATGAATGTTATGACGTTCTAATAATTACTAATTGCGTTATTGCCTCCTTTATTCTTATTTTGACAGTTGGCCTACTAGAATTGACATCAATTTTTATTCATGTACATTTTAACAAGAATAGCCGGATTTGATTATCTATAATTAAAATGGAAACTTTAAAATATGTATCCTGTTTGTATTTTTCATAAACATAGTTATAAATACAGTAAAAATTGACAATTCAAATGAAGTTGTGCTCAGTAATTGGATGAATAATGGGTCGAGGATGATTCAAATGAAACAAGTTCGACTATTACTCCATAAGGGTGACCAATTTCAGTCGATAGTATATTTATCGACTGCAATCACTAGCTGCTCGCAAGCGGTTAACGCTTTTAAGCAATAAACCATCATTTTACTCCATCTTCAAAAAAGACAGAGTAAAAGTATAGTAGACTTATGCCTACTTGATCTTTAAAGTGAGCGATCTGATCTATAATTTTTAGTTTATAATTGCGATGTTTTTGTGAAATAACTATTGTTTTTTTTTAAATATGATTATTAATTCAAAGATCGAACACAGAAAAATTTTCTTCGACCCAATGGGACTTGAACCCACGATTATGCTGCACCATAGTATTGCTCTTGCCAACTGAGCTACGGGTCAAGTTATAGAGTTGAATGAATTCTCCCAAGTGTTTTTGTTAAAGATCTTTGTACTGTAAATACATTTTAGTCACTGGGCGCTATATCGGGATTATATGGAGGGCGATCATCTGATAAAACTGACAACTTGATCAACTTTCTGCACCAAATCTTCAGTGATAACTGAAGGTAGCCCACTTCGTTCCAAATCATGAACATTGTGGTGGCCACCATTAAAAGCACTAACCTATTTCCCTACCATTCCATCGCTCATGCACTTTACAGATTTGAGAAAACTAATCACGGCGCGTATTTCAGAGTTGACGGGATTCTCAATTCCCAGCAGTTGTAAGTATACAGTGCGCATACGCGGCACAACGACCGCAGCGCTGCAGCGAGCGCATTTGAAAACGGTACTTACTTTTCACGTCGGATATTATTCAGCCAATATAGCACTAAAATAAAAGGAGTAACGACAATATAAGAAGAAGAAGAAGATCTAGTAGATGAACTGTACGTGACTACCAGTTTAATAAACTTTAAGTACAAGTATCTTACCATCAATAAGGTCCGTATGCCTCTGTGGCGGTCGCTCGACCTCAAACGAAGAACTAGCACGTGACGGCATACTGTCACATCGGTTGCGAAGCGTGGTCGCATCTGCAATTAAACGCGCTTGTGTTTTATATTCTATTCTTATGGAAGCATTTTGTACATAGCCTCGTCCACGGTTCCACAAGTCGCACCCTCAATCATAAAGTGACGTAATTCAAAAAGAAATTTTTGGGAAGCTGACGGAATAAGTTTGAACAAAAAAAAACGTAATTAGCGTCAGTCAAATGGCATCGCACTGCTATTACAATAGTGTTGCAACTCAAAATATGTGAAATTCATGATTATACTATTGCAGAAATTTGATTCTCTACACGTCATTAAAACCGTCGTTACGATATTGTAAGAAACAATTAAAAGATATCCGCTTAACTCGAAATGAGTCAAACTTTTGTGACCTAGATCTTGGACATAACAGTCCTTACACAAAATTATGATCAAAGATATGAAACTCTTTCTTCCCTTTTATTTTCAAACATATTTGGCAAGTAGGAAATTGATTAGATGTCTGTAAAAAACTTTATCCTATACATAAATTTAAAAAATATTTCACGGGAAGAGAGTAATTAATTCGTTTTTGATCGATGCTGAAAAAACACACTTTTTGAGTTAATACACTATTGTATTAACAGTGTGATTTATGAATACGTATATGGCACGCATAAACTCCTTTTATTGGATAACAAAATTCACATCCGTGTAAACGAATTTCCTTGAAAGAAATAGTTTTTTTTTATTGGACGTAGCTGTATTACGTCAATATTTCTTATTTATTTATAATTTTTTAGTTCACTGCAAGAGGCGTGAGGAGAGGTAAGCCTCGGCACACATATCTCAATCAGAGTTGGGATGTCTATAAAAAAGTACTCAGAATAAAAGAACATGTATGAAGAGACTGATGAGAATGGAGGAGGTGAAGATTTGTCAGGAGCGTAGCAGGAGCAGGTCCATAGCTCCTGCCTACCCCGGTGGGAGACAGACGTGGTGTGATGTATATATGTGCTACATTGTTTTATATTCATTATTATTGTTTATACAAGTGACGATCACATTATCCCTTGGCATTATATTTTAAATTGTAATATCGTGATATTGATAATATGAAATAAATGGTGTACTCTAATGTTCAAATCTAATAATAATATTACTTTTTAAGTATTTTTTATTTATTTTATCAGTGTCCCAAAAACGTTTCTTTTTGTATTACTTTATTATCAAAGGTGCAAAATGTTGACTATTTTGTAATGGCGTTTTTTTTTTCACATATAAATACGCGTGATGCATATTACCCTCTGTCTGGCGGCTTACACTAAACAACGTATCGGTATAAAAAATCTTTGATAACGTATAAACGTTTCATTTGATGTTCCTTTGTGCGATAACAATGACATCGGATTACAATGGAATCTAAAAAACCTAGATGGCGCTAGAGAACATAATTTAGGTACGCGCCACACTTATTTTGAAATTGTAAGTAAAAATTGTTTTTACTTTTAAAAAGTCTAAGATTTCGAAGGAAAGTGCTATCAACTATACTAATTAAAGTTTAACATCAGTTTCAGACGGATAATAAAGCCACAATGTGAGCTTACGTCAAAGTGCTTTTATCACATGAAAGTCATAAAAATAACACTAACTACAGAAACAAATTATGTGTATGTGAAAATCTCCCGTTTAAACCTCGCTCCTGAAAAATTATCATTTCAAAGGTGTGGCCTATTTGCACCAAAGGCATGGATGACTGAAAGTTTATTAAAATGTATAAAAAACCAACGCCCATCCCTATTCACTAGAGCTGCCAAGCAGAAGTAATGGTGATCCCTGCCATTGTTACCACAAACGAACGTCAAAAATACAAGACAAAAACAGAGTCGGGGGAACTTACCATTTAAGTACGTTGAACGATAATGCGGTAAAAAGATCTAATTAGAAAAAGAAGTAGAGATATACAGACGTGCAATTTGCTATTAAAGATAGAAACAGAATTAATTAGAAAGAATCGACGTAATAATTAAGCGCATTATTCTTAAATTAATAATATGTTATACTTAACAGTTTTAATACAATTTGCTTAAATTAAGGCATTGGCTAAGCAAAGCTAATTCTCCTTAGAGGAGACCGACGCCTAGCCTAGGGTTTGACGCAAGGCCTAGATAAACATTGCGAAGGTAAAGGCAATGAGTGGGAAATATTGTCCTCATTTAGTACGAATGGATGTAATTTACAATACTGATGAAAAAAAGTTTTTTTTTATAACATCAAGTGACGCGACGAACAAGTCGTGCGCCTGATGGTAAGCTACACGCCTGTCCATAACAGTTACAGTGCCACTCAGAGCTTTAAAAGAGCAAAGATCTGAGGGGCACTACCACTGCGCCCGTCACCCTGAGACGTAACTTGACAAGTCCCATGTGCCTGTAAGTTATACATCAGAATATGGTTTAAATAATTAATTTCCGTCAAAATCCTAAATTACTCCCACTGTTAAGGACAATACAGGCGATTTTTGTACACTATACAATGCTCATGATAACAAATAACAATTTCAAGCAACAAGATAAAAAAAATTGATTCCCTGTACAAAGCGTGATCAATGCGACATTTGTACGGGCAACCAACAATTAACTATGTTTAACACATGTCGAAATGATACCGCACCTTTTAGTTACAACCTGTATAATGTGACCGTATAAACAAGCTTTATAGGTAGATGCGCGGCGAGTGGCAGGGTGGCAGCTGACTTGAAATATTTTAATCGCAATTGGATTAACAATAATTCAAAAAATTACAAGTTGACTACAGACACTTGGCAACCTTTTATTCAACTTAAACGAATAAAGACAAACTTCTGAGGCATATCAAGTATGACGAGCCAGCTCAATATACCTAAGGAACATATCGTCGCCTTACATTCTCAAACTCGTATCTTAAATCACAAAGTTACTGAAATGCTAAAAATGAATTGTATATACAAATGTTGCATATTGCAAATTATACTTACACACTATCTTTTACCTATTTTTAATGTAATACACCCAAATTAACACCCTTGATAAGAAATTTAAAATAAATGGAAAGTTTTTCATACGAGTTTGACAAAGTAAGGCATCGATATGAGTGTTAAAACTTAACACGAAACAAGGTAATTACAGGCTTCAATAATACGTCCTCTTAGGAAAATACTTGCATCAAAACCGACTAAATTATACGATCTTATGCGGTCACATTATAGAACTGGTGGTATAAAAAAAGCCCTTATTAACATATACAAAAATGCACATAAAGATAATCATTCAACGTAATATGTAAAAAGCATCATGCGTTACTACTTTCGAGGTACAGACAAAATGCTAATACCAGAGACAATATCGACAACCGCAACATGGTAACTCGTATAAAAACGTTTAAGTGCACAAATTTCCTAATTTACTATTCGCTTTTCATATTTGGTTATTAGTGTTTTGTAAAAAACAAATTATGAACAGCAAAGTTCGATTAAGAAACGTGTGCAACAACAACGTAGACAACAACATTGTAAGACAATACAACAGAAACAGCTACAAAAACGACACAGTGAACAAAACGCCAGGTTGCAATTTAAAACAAAAAATATATATATTCATAAATGACAACGTTAGTAAAATGTGCGATGTGTGTTAACAAGCGATGGAGATACATACTCTTCGAATGCGCTGGTGACAGTTTTGACAATCTCGTTCCCGTACTCGCTCGCCTCGGCCATTGCGACTTCTTCGCAAAAGCGTCTATTCCATTAACGGTTTTACATGACGAATGCGATGCGGCTTTCTCTAAGAACGCGCGGTCCACCTCGTCGCCTGTCAAAGGCGCAGACCGCGTTCTTTCGTGGACTATTTTCAACGGCTCTTGAAAAAGTGGACATCCAGTTGGTAAGGAGACGGTTCGATGATGTTTGATGATTCGATTTGGATGCTCCTTACGTTCTGTTAGTGAATTATTCGGCGGTTGGTTCTCAGCTGTGGAAGACATGAGAAGCAACACGTAAAACATGTGGCGCCACGCGACACCCCGGTGCTGTGGTTAGGGTGGTTAGCAATGGTGGTTCTAAATCGAATACAGTACACTTTTTTTTTCATTCATTTCACGTCCTCTTCTTAACAAGATTCAAAATTACTTGGAGAACCATCATTGCTTGTTTATGAGTTATAATTTACAACAAAAATATGACATAATTATATTTATTTAAAGTTCGCTAAAACACTACGTAAAAACTATAATAAAGATACTCGTGACGTTTAATAAATCAATTTTTTATAATAATTGTATTTGACAACTTAAGAGAGATGTCTGTGTAATCTTGGAGGTAATTCCGAAACATTATTCGCGATTGCGATCATGTAATAACGAAATGGTGTCATTTTGACCGCTTTCTAACGAATGGGCGTGGCTTACAACGTAATTTTAATAAATTTTCGTGAAAAGTTGTAAGTACGTCCATAAGTTTTACAAGGGACAATATGACATCAAGCCAATTGATTAGAAAAACAATTTTAATTGTTATGGAAAACACTAGCAAACGGTCATATTTTTGTTGAAACTGCCCATTGTACAACATGTTGATGCGTGATACAGCCACACTCAGTGTACATAAATCCAACACCAATTGGTCATGCGCCCAACTTAGTCATGATGCTTTGTTAAAGCGAGACATTCACTATCCTACATTGTTATCAGATAGAGTCAGATGTGGTTTATTTGAGCTGAACTCGTTTCAAGAACATTTTTCAAGGCGAATTTCTTTCTGTACCCCTAGATTTTAAATTGTAAAAACAAAAATTTTATTAAAAATGGAAAATGTATCTTACGCTTAATAACAAAGTGACGTAATTCAAGAGGTAGCATTGTGGCAAATTGACAAAATAAAATAAAATAAAATCATATCAAAATTGTCTTTTATCATAATTCCCATTAGTCAAATGCATATTGTTGCTGATGCTATGTGCGTTATCTTTTTAAATCAATTTTGTCAGTTCTCCAAAACTTACTTTTTTAGTTTCGGCGCTTTATATTGAGATAGTGACATGTTCTGTTACAATACCCAGTTACTACATCGGTTTAATGCAGATTTTTATTGCGTTTAAATTTAAATTTTTTGCAATGCAAGCTTACAAATCAACCGTAGATAAAGAAAGAAATCTCGTAGAGTTGTGAATGTTCCGTTTAATGGGTATCATTATGGCGTTAATTTACAATTATTGCACATAATGAGATCCGATCACATTAATACTCCCTCAGTACACTTAATGGTCGCAACTTTTTATTTTTAAGCAAAAACTTATTTACATAATTCAATTCTAAGTTTTACGTTGCAATGTTACGACCTTTAGGGTCGCAAGGGAGATACACACAAATGTATACATATCGCACCCCTCATGGAAGAATGGGATAAGTGTAGTTACGTTGAAAATGTTTATTGCTCCGTTGGATACAGAAAAATACAACTCACATCCTCACCAATTCTTTAGAGATATTTTAAATTGATTTTAAATTGTACATTAATAATAACAAACTACTTTGACAACAATGTATACAACAGGAGCCCCGCATGACGTACCATTATTGCACGCCTGGTACCTTACGCAGATTGGCAAATACTTTTACCACGATGGCAAGCAATTATAGTGTATGCCATCGGTACGACAAGAAGGCAAACAATATATTATTTTCGCGAACAAATCTATATCCGGTCAGGTTAATTAGAAGTTTCAATAAAGAACAAATTTTTTCGGGCAGGTGTACGACCCAGTAACTTACGGCGGTACCTTTTATGTTAAATCCTATTTTTGCCTGTCCAACTTGAGTCAGACTATCGAACAACTTGAGTTAAATACCACTTTAAACACACAAAAAAACTTTCATAGATTTCTCACAGATGGCGCCGTTGCAAGTCGTTAAAACAAAAAACAAAGATCTGCAACAAACACATGGAAAAATTCGTGAGGTCCGTTGGTTCGTTCCGTAGCCTTAGTTGGCATAGCGTCTGGCACGGTTTGCTGGGAGACGTTGGTACGAATCCAACCGGATCGATGTGATTTTTTTCTAAGTGCCCCGATCTATGTTTAAGGATTACAACAAACTAGTGGACTAATTTCACAAAAAAATAGTTGAATATTATGGTCCACATCCATTACATCCATTCCATAAAACTTAATTAAATACCACTTGTCTTTTCATTTTTTATAGAGGTGAATCTAAATATCAATCGTTATACTTAGATTCAGAGGTTCTATACTAAGATACCATCATCTTCAACGTACGTATAGTGAGAGAGATTTTGAGATTTGTCCAAACCCTTTCATATACATGTAATGTTTTTTGAGATTGTTATAAGATTTGTCAAAACGTCTTCGGACACTTAAGTTTCTCGAGAATGTTATAAGACTTATGAAAGCCCTTCGATGCAATCGCGCGTTTGTATCGACGTAGTCGCACGTTTGCATCGCCTATAAATCGCAAGTGTAACGTGCGTTTTACGAACATGCGTTTGCATCGCTGCTAAAAAGTCGCGGTATTCTTAGACTCGTCGAAGAATCCGAATATTTCTTACTGTTATACAAACAGTTTCTGTAGATATCTTAGGGTCGTATTCCAGAACTCTACTCAATACTCAAGTCAGGATTTGAGTATGGTTTAAAGCACTCAAAATCATAGTCAAGTCCATGCCATTAGGGTCGTATTTCCAGTGCTTGTGTTTAAAGTGCAATCCTAACTTGAGCATTGAGTAGAGTTCTAGAATACGACCCTAAGAGTGCCAAGGCGTCATACAATGAATTTACTCATTTGTTTGTACCTGTCATGCCTCATTACTGCAAAGCTATACATACATGTTAGTTACCTTACATTTCCTGGCTACGGACATGCGTCAGCTTGTTTAATGTATAGCTTTTAATTACAATTTTTGTTACCTTTATGCATGATTGAAATATTGTTTATTGCACACAAAAAAATTACAAAGATATCACAGAACAGAATGTACAATAGGCGGCTTTGTCGCTAAATAGCAATTTTTTTTTCAGGTAACCGTAGGATAGAAAATTAGGCCATGCAAATGTGGGTGTGCAACTTTTTGCCTTCATCTTGAGGATAATGGCTTCAAACACCATACAAACTGATACTTATTTGTAGATGAAGGCAGTTTCTTCTTGGACGCAGGTGTTGATTTTGAATTGTGACGTCAAAGCTAGTGTTGTCAAGAGAAGTATAGTCGAAGTAATATTATTTGCACCGATGAATGTTCCCTCTTAGAACGGCTTATCCTTTCTATTACAATACACTAACAAAACCAAGTACACTTCTTTTAACCAAACCGTACATGATCTTAGTCCATTATACAAGTCATGGGTGCGCTAAATGCTTTTTCTGAATTCTAGTTTTAAATTATTTGTTTACTCATAAGGTACTTCTTTTTAAAAAACTTTATGTACTTCGTAAAATACCGACTGCCGACTATTTTCTTACTAATTCAACAAAGTTAGTTACGCAAAAAGATTATCAAGTTTAGAATTAAGTGCCAATCTTAGAATAATAACGCATAGAATGATAGTTTCATATCAAACGAACTG